TTTTTTTTTCCCATGGCTCCCCTTGCACGATTACTCTGCAGGGATATTCTTTTTGGAAATTTCCCAAATCCCCGCCCCCCCCCCCCCCCCCCCCCCCGAAAAAAAAATGGGGAAAAAAACTTCCCTTCAAAAAAGTAATTGAATAGAAAACTAACAACGGGGAAATGAAAATAAAGGTTCCAGAGAGTGTTTTACCGCCAATCTCAAATGCAATATCTTTCTATTGGAAAGTCCCCTTGCCTTTCTATTAACTGCTAGGCTTAGAAAGAACAGGGCGAACCTAATTACTAAACTTATCCAGTAGATCTTGAGTTGCGCCGCGCGTTGAATTTTTGTGTTCGATATTTGACCTCCCTCTGTTAGAGTGCCACGTTAAAGGAGCTACGTTAAATATTTCAAGTTCGTCGTTTGCAATCCGTGTTAATCTTCTCCGTCCTTAACCATCTTTGTTCCTTTATGATTCATTATTATCTCTTTGGTGGTTTTCCATCTTAGTAAACTATTATTTTGAAGTTAAATTTCAAAGCAATTAAGCTGGGGGTAACCCTGCGATGGACTAGCATCTCATTTAGGGGGGGAGGGGGAGTAAAAATAATTCTAGTTGCTTCATGGTACAGAAACCGGAGATAAGCGCCGGCCTTGGCTTGTGTGCAAACTTTACCTTTGCCTTTACTTGTCCCCGCTAGGGCGAGAAAAGCTGGTAAATATCAACCGTTTGAACTAATTGTAGGTAGAACTTTTCAGACAGAACTCCTCCCCCTCCCCATGGGGACACTTGTGTTGTGAACAAGGTCTTTTAACTGAGAAATACCACTTCAGGAATGTGATAAACAGTATTGCTTACAATTCGGCGAATGTTCTTCACTCTTATCTAGATGGAGTCGTGGCATCTTGAACAGATTATCGGAATGTGCATGCTTGTTTATTGTTACACAGTCGGCGATTCAAAAGGAGATATCGATTTAATCATGTAAACACTAATAGACAAGATTTGCCTGCGAGACTTCACCGAGACAGAACCGGGAAAAACTTCACGTACCGAGCTTGCTGACGTGGATATTTACGTAGAGGAAAAAGACCAAAATAGCCAAAGTATTTCAATAATTTATCAAACAAACTTCAAAGGGAAGTAGCAGAACTGTGTTTTTTGGTTTGGTTTGTTTTGTTGATTCTCCCACTCAATATTTCCTGTTTTTCTTCAAAGTGTTTCAGTCTAGGGAAAAATTCTTCAGCGTTCAATGGACGTAACAACAACAAAACTGAGAACATAGTTGGTTTGTGAGCACGTACATTTTAACCTTTACATCCCAAAGTGATCAATTTTCAAATTCTCGTTGCAATCCCAATGCTTTGCCATAGAAGACAGGTTAGGAGAGTGGTTGTAGTCATCAACTTGGAGATGTTGTCTTGATGTGACATCGAATTCTCAGAACCGTACCCAATAGCAGTTTTGTAAGTGGGTAAGGAGAAGTTATCAGGAGGAATCAAACGTTATGCCGTCAACACTAATTAGAACTTTCGTGGTTTCTTTTTTTTTTCAAAGTCCGTCACATACTTCCTTAATCATAACCTCTTCTTTTTGTTTCCTATTTTATTAAACTGCATTCCGAGATTTCTTTGGAAATTGTAAGGGATAATTTCTAGGTTTAGCAAGAATAACTTAAACATCATTTAGTTCTTTTAAGCTAAAACGGAAGCCATTCGGTTGTTGAAAGATGTTTCCAAATAGAAGGAAATTACTGATGAGAAATGAAACGGAAATCTATAACTACGCCCATCTGCTTCTGCTCGCTTATGTATTTTCTCGTGAAATCAATGTTTCCCCGGCAATGTTATCCATCATAAAAGGACTGTTATGTTAACTTCCGTTTCTCCTTTGGAAAACCGTTATAACCTACAAAGTCAGTCTGGCAGTAAACGCCGGGCTTATTTCATATCATCCTTAACCCAAATCTCACTAGTTCTTTACTTCACCAGCAATTTCCCACCTCTCGCCGACTTTTTTATGTTGTTGTTTTTATTAATGAACTCCTTCCACAGCAATGCAAGGCACGCAGTTTAATGGCGTCCTTGCCATTCAGTGTGCCAAAAATATTCTTCGGCATGCGTTTGTATTTTGTCTAGTTGGAGGCAAGTTGTCACCTTTGGAAAGAAAGAACTTGTGTTTGTTGGGTCAACATTGAGGAATTTTCGTATCAGTTTTCACTAATTTAGGAAAACTCTACAGATGGCGTGGGAAAATGGATTGGGAAATTAGTAAACATTGATTCTATTTGCATGCCCCTTGAAAAAAACCACTAAAATTTCTAATGTGCTTGTGGGCCTTGTCGCCAAAATAACATTTTTATTTTGATGTTCTACAGATATCCACCTTTCTAAACAACACGAAAACTTCGAGCTTCGAAACCGCAGGTCTCAGTGGCCTTGTATTAAAGGGTTCTTCCAGTATTGTTGTTTTTGCTTTTCATTTTTTTAGAAGAAAACTGTTAATACAGAGGTAGATTGTAAATCCAGTAATACCACTGCTATGTTCTTCTCATTGAAGCACATCATGGAATGCATGTAAAGTTTCAAGTGGGAGCTACTTTTCACTACGCCGACATGTAAATTTCTTTCAAAATTATGTCTGCTGACAATTTGCCACTGTAACAGACGAGAAAAAAAAATCGATTTGATACAGATTTGCTCTTCTTAGGTATTAATAACATGATAGTGTTAAAGAGTTCCAAATCTCTGATTAATATACGCCATTACATGTAAGCACCGAGCTAAAACTACTAATTCCTTTTACTAATTTCAATACGATTCTTCTGGTGTAACTTCTGAGAATTTGAAGGTAAATCAACGCAGAAACCTGTTATTGATGATTTTCAATATTCTCCTAATCTTCTGTGTGACAAGATACTTGTGTTGTCAGGAGAATTTGGTCATTGATCGCATTTACGATTTTTTAAAAAAATTGATTTTTAAAATTGCACGTCTGGTAGAAAAATAAAAGATATATTACAACATTTGAACCCGCGTTCTGTCCGTACAAGTATATTTCAAAACGAAACGCTGTTGAAACTGCCTTTGTCTTCACACGAAATTGGTTCCTTTTGAAAAAAAAAATGGTTTAATTTACACAAGATTGAAATAATATTTTTCTTTCTTTTTAGCAAATGTCGTTTGTAAAGCGTCGCAACAATTCTTCGTCGCATCAAGGGAGGACAAAAATTTCCATTGATTAAAAACCGAAAAAAATTATTAAAAATTGAGGTCTTAAAGTGGATTTACCAAACCGCACGCGAGTCTGGTCGAACTTAGCACAAAAGATTAGATTGTGTGAAATTGTTATTAAGAAGATGCGGGACTCAGCACGTTTTGTTAAGTTTGCGTTTGTGCAGATTATTTACGCACTAAATAAAACCAGCAGTAGAATTTGTCTTCAATTGAGTGATAAGACGGACAAGCGAGAACGTGTGCAGCGTAGTGTCGCGTGCGTGATGTTACGTTTTTCGCGCGGCTTGCCGCTTGTATGAATGACGCAACTCGCA